AAAGCGGGTACGGTTCCTGGCACGGCCCGGACGGAGGCAGGACGCCACGGGCGCCGCCAGGACCTTCCTTTCCAAAGTCGCACCTGTTTGTCTTCCGCAATTCTTCGGTTTATAATTTTTACCTTTTATTTAAACATTGAAAAGCGGTCCGAGTGGGGGGTGTTAGATCCGTTCCGGTAAATCTGATTTTCCTGTGTGTTAATTAAGTAGCGGTGTGTCCTGGGAATCTATGTATAGTATGTGTATCGTAAGAATTGAGAGATGTTCTGTGAAACTTGCTGAAGTTGCGTATGCTTTTGGTTCATTTCTTTTCTTTTCTTTTCTTTTTTCTTAAGAAAGGGTCTGGCTATGTAGTTCAGGCTGGCTTCAAACTCACTTTGTAGCTGGGCTGGTTTCGAACTCACACGATCCTCCTGCCTCAGCCTCCGGGTTGCTAGGATTACAGGCCTACACCACGAATGTATTTCAAAAGCTCTATTAGTGTTCAGCATTTCTTGAATCTGAACTGTATGGGTTTTTTTAATGCTGTACTGAGGATTGAACCCAGGATCCTCCCACTGAACTGTTCAGTTATTTGGAGACAGTTTTTCACTAAATTGCCAAGGCTGAGTTTGAACTTGTGATTCTCTTTCCTGGGCTGCATTTAATCTTTTTGAGGATAACAAAGAGATAAAAGGGACCAAAAAAAAAAAAAAATAGAGCCTTGTTATAGAGGAGACCCCCATTGATGGGCCCTGTGCTGGGACTGCCATAGTTAATCCCCTAAAATGGAAGGGTTCCTCTAAAGGCCCTGGAATTCCTTCTTGACTTCTCCCTCTCCACCCCATTTCCTGGGTGATAGATTCCAGTCTGGCAATAATGTGTACACTCTGTGGGTAGGTTGCCTCGTCGACATCACCTGGGTTCCTTTTTTTGTTTTATAGTTTTTTGTTTTTCAGACAGCGTCCGTGACTCATTATGTAGTTCAGGCTGCCCACAAACTCATGAAGATCCTTCTGCCTCGGTATCCTGAGTGCTGGGATTACAGGCCTGCCCCACCACACCCTGCCCTTACAAGCAATTTGAGGGAGACATTGTACCTAAAACCTGGTAGTTATATTATTAAAAGATTATTTTATTTTATTTTATTTTTTTGGTACTGGGGATCAAACTCGGGACTCTGGGCTTGCGAGACAGGCAGCGACGCCACTAAGCTAAATCCCCAGCCCTTAGAAGATAATTTTAAAAAATTTTTTCTTTTGTATATGTGTTCAGAGCAACGATTTCATGAAAGAAACAGGCAACCTTGGTAAAGGGCAAAGTCCTTTTTTTGGTACTTTTTTCAGCTGATGTATACCTCGAGATAAGTTAGTTTCTCCTGGTGGCCATCCATCCCCTATAGCTTATCCCTGGAATGAATGCCATTCACGGTCATTGCTGCAGCTATTTTGTGGCTTTGGGGAATGTTAGCCTTTGGCAGTTTTTACTTCAGAATTCAGTTTTTAAAATCAAATATCTAGTGTTACTGTTTTTTGTTTTTTGGGTACCGGGGATCGATAGTATTACTGTTTGAGAGAGAAGCCAGTCCTCAAACCTGACATTCATGAAGGAAGGGGCTTGTGATCCTGAGTTTTTTTTGTTGTTGTTTTGTTTTGTTTAGGCAGAGTCTCCCTTTGTAATTCAGGCTGGCCCTGAACTCGCTCTGTAGCCAAGGCTGGTCTTGATCTTGAGGTGATCCTCCTACCTCAGCCTCCCAAGTGCTGGGATTACAGGCGTGCACCACCACTCCCGGCCATGGTACTGTGTTTTAACAAACCGCTTTTCTGTGGCCATCCCAAAGCAGTGTAAGTGTGGGTCAGTACCTTTTGTTGTGTAGTCTACAGCCATACCACTCCAAACACACCCAATGTCATCCTGCATCATATTGTATATAGGGCTTATAGATAAATTAGATATAAATATTTCTTTTGCTTATTTTTGTTAGTGCATGTTTGCAGTACATAATGATTACATTCATCATGAGGAGTTGCTACATGTACATAGCACATATTCATTCTTTTTCTTACCTTTTTCCCTTCCATCCGGGCTGCAGTTTTTCCCTACCCTTCCTGCCCCCTCTTTCTCTTTTTTTCCCCTTTTTTTCTATTATTTATCTTTTATTTTGCTCTTATATTTTGTGTTGTTCATATAAGAGAAACCATGTGACACTTAAGCTTGTGTCCCTGATTTATTTCACTGAAATTTATGGTCTCACATTGCATCCATTTTCCTACAAATGACTCACATTTAGTCTTTTTGTGGTAGAATAGTACTCCATTCTGTATAAATACCACATTTTTTAAATTCATTCCTCTGTTGATGGACATAGGCCACTTTTTTGCCATTGGGAACTGTTGCAGTAAACCTGAGTATGCATGTATCACTGTAATATGATACCTTTGACTCTTTCAGAAAGATACCTAGAAGGGGAAGAGCTGGAATGGGATTTCTAGTTTTGGTTTTTTGAGACTCTCCATACTGATTTCCATAACGGTTGTACTGATTTCCATTCCCAACAATGAAGGGCCCCCATTCTTGCCAGCATGCCAGCATTTGTTGTTGCATGATTTCCTTCTGGAGTGAGGTGAGATCTCTGTTGTTTTAATTTGCATTTCTCTAATGACCAGAGATACTGAATATTTTTTCATGTATTTGTGAGATTTACTTATTTTACTTTCCAGGGGTGAACTGTTTCTGTTTCTCACTCAGATCTTTGATCAACTTTGATTTTAGTTTAATGCAGGGTGAGAGACACTGGTTTAGACTCAATCTTCAGCATTTGGATAGCCAGTTTTCCCAGCGCCTTTTATTAAAGAGGCTATCTTTCCTCCAGGGTATGTTTTGGCCCCTTTCTCAAAGATCAGATAGCTGAATGTACCAGCGGTTATTTCTTCCTTCTCTGTTCTGTTCCATTGATCCACATGTCTGCTTCTGTGCCATTACCATGCCATTTGTAGTATTACTTGAAGTCTGAGATTCAGATGTCTTCTGCTTTGTTCTTGTTGCCCAGAATTACTTTTGCTGTTCAGGGCTTCTTCTGGTTCCGCATGAATTTTAGGTTTGTTTTCTCTGATTCTGTGAAGAATGCTGTTGGTATTTGGATTGGAATTGCATTAAATCTGTATAGATACCAGTTTTGGAAGTGTGGCCCTTTTGACAGTACTGGTTCTGCCTGTCCAGGAACAGGAGACATCTTTCCGTTTTCTGATGTCCTGTTCCATCTCCTTTTTCAGATTTCTGTAGTTTTTGTTGTAGAGGTCTTTCACTTCTTTGCTTAGGTTACTGTGATTCCTATGCATTTCAATTATTGTATCATCTACACATAATGATAATTTGACTTCTTCCTTTCCTATACATATCTCTTGTATTTCCCTTGCCTGCTTGCTCTGGCTAATGTTTCAAGAATTATTTTGAACAGGAGTAATGATAGCAAACATCATTGTCTTCTTCCTGATTTTAGAGGAAAAGGTTTCAAGCTTTTCTCCATTTTAATATTATGTTGGCCATTTCCTAAGTGGCTTTTATCATATTGATATTAGGTCCTTCTATACCTATTTTCCTTGTAGTTTTTATCATGAATGGATATTGGATTTTGTCAAATGCTTTTTCTGCATCTATTGAAAAGATCATGTGATTTTTGTCCTTGCTTCTGTTTATGTGATGTCTTAACATTTACTGTGTCACCATCCCTGTATCCCTGGGATGAAGCCTACTTAGTCATGATGTGTAATCTTTTTGATGATTTGCTGCATTTTATTTAGCAATATATTGTTGAGTATTTCTACAACTGTGTTCATTAAAGAGATTGGCCTATAGTTCTCTTTTTTAGTGAGGTCCTTTTTGGGTTTTAGAATCAGGATAATGCTAGTTTCCAGGAATGACTTTAACATTTCATTAAAGGTTTGAGTAATATTGATGTTAGATCATCTCTAAATTTCTTGACTGTTACCCAGTCAGGTCCTGGGCTTTATCTAGTTGGTAGGGTTTTTGTTATTCTTTTATTACTTCTTCAGTTTCATTGCCTGATACTAGATTAGCCAGAGTTTTTATGTCTTCTTGATTCATCTTTAGTAGTTTGAATTTGGGACCTTGCACTTGCAAGGCAGATGGCCGAACATTTTTTTTTTTTTTTTTTTTTAAGACAGGGTCTCACTGTGTAGTTCAGGCTGGCCTTGAACTCAGCAATCCTGACTCAGCCACCTGAGTGCTGGGATCACAGGCATTTGCCACCATACCCGGCTATTTTGTTTATTCTTTCAAAGGATCAGCTCTTCGATTCCTTTGTATTATTAGTCTCTTTCATTAATTTCTGTTCTGATCTTTATGATTTCCTTCCTTGTACTAGCTTTAGATTTGGATTGTTCTTGTTTCTCTAGGACCTTGAAGTACATCATGGGGTTATTTATTTGGCTCATTCTGATGTGGGCATTTTCAGCTGTAACCTTCCCTCTTAGAAATGCTTTCATGGTGCCCCCTAGTTTCCTGTGTGTGGTGCCTGCATTATTGTTTTTGATTCTGTGAACTAAGTCCTTCCTTGATTTCTTCTGTGACCATTGATTATTCAAGAGGGTACAGTATTGTTTAATTTCCATGCCTTTTACTTTTTTTTGGGGGGGGTACCGGGGATTGAACTCGGGTCCCTGCGCTTGCAAGGCAGGCCACCGAACTGCTGAACTAAATCCCCGGCTATTTGATTTTTAATACCAAGGATCAAACTCAGGACCTTGTGCTTGTGAGGCAGGCAGCGGCACTATGGCCCCCTTTCACTTATTTATGAGGCAGAGTCTCGCTCTGTTGCCCACGCTGGTCCTGTGCTAGGTGAGCCTCCTGGTTCAGGCTCCTTCATAGCTGGGACAGCACACACCCTCAGCTAACTGCCTCAGCTAACTGTCATGCTCAGAGCTAACGTTTACATTTTTTATTGCACTTTAAATGTCATAGAATAATAACTACATTCCTGAGTAATTTTGTTGTTACATTTATTTATTTGTGTATTGCAGTGCTGGAGATGAACCCAGGGCCTTCACAATGAGCTACATCCCCAGCACATTTTTTATTTTTACTTTGAAACACTAAGTTGAGTCATCAGGCCCAGCTGAAAATACACATTTATTATTTTTATGTATCCTAATAACCAGAATCATGTTGGTCTCCTGAATACTTTTTTGCTACTAAGTAAATAAAATCAGCATCACTGAAAAGATACAAGTGACCAAAAACAAACAATAAGAAGTGATAATTAATTTGGGCTACCGGAGTAAAATCACAGATGTCTTCAAATGATGGAAGATCCAGGATTCTGGACGGGGGCTACAGTGAGGTCCCAAGGGACCTGCCGGATCCCTATGGCACCCTACAAACCCTCCATAGTCTTCGCGACAGCGAGCTGGCCCTGAGCACCGATCCCCTGCCACCACCTCCTCTCCCATTACAGCCACCCTTCGGCCCAGCCCTCTTCTCAGGTGACAAAGAGCCAGTCGTGGCCCCGGATCTCAAGCCGGTGCGGCGCTTCATCCCCGACTCCTGGAAGAACTTCTTCCGAGGGAAGAGAGCGGCCCCGAGCTGGGCCCAGGCCGGGTCTGACGTGGGGTACCTGTCGGACGGCGGGTACATCTCAGAAGGCGTGGAGTGCTCGCCCCCTTCCTCCCCGGCACCAACCCGCCACCGCTCGCCCCCTGAGTCCTTCGGGGACCCCCGAGGGGCCGGGGCCCCGATGTCCGTCCACGACCCCTGGGCGTCGCTGGGCCGTGGCACTGGGACGGGGCTGACCTACAGCGAGAAGGTGGAGCAGTACCAGCTGCGCTACTCCTACATGAAGTCCTGGGCCGGCCTGCTGCGCCTCCTCGGGGTGGTGCAGCTGCTGCTGGGCGCCGGCGTCTTCGCCTGCGTCACCGCCTACATCCACAAGGACAGCGAGTGGTACAACATGTTCGGCTACTCGCAGCCCTATGCCATGGGGGGGCTGGGGGGGCTGGGCAGCGCCTACGGGGGCTACTACTACGGCGGCCCCAAGACCCCCTTCGTTCTGGTGGTGGCCGGCCTGGCCTGGATCGCCACCATTATCATCCTGGTGCTCGGCATGTCCATGTACTACCGCACCATCCTGCTGGACTCGGACTGGTGGCCCCTCACTGAGTTCGGCATCAACGTGGTCCTGTTCATCTTGTACATGGCCTCGGCCATCGTCTATGTGAACGACACCAACCGAGGAGGTCTCTGCTCATACCCGGTGTTTAACACGCCCATGAATGTGGGCTTCTGCCGTGTGGAAGGGGGCCAGATCGCAGCCATGATCTTCCTGTTCGTCAACATGATCGTTTATCTCATCAGCGCGCTCGTCTGCCTGAAGCTCTGGCGGCACGAGGCCGCGCGCAGGCACCGCGAGTTTGTGGAGCAGCAGGAGGTACGTGAGCTTGCGCACACTTCTCTGTTGAAAACACCTTGCCCTCAAAACGAACTTTTTGACTTTAGATTTTTACTACCCAAATTTCTTTGAGATGATTCACTCTGGAATTCTGCTTGTTACTGCAAAGAGACATCAGATGTGGGATAGTTTGTTGACTGCATTATAGCCAGTCCACTAAAGAGAAGGACACTTGAATTTCAGTGAAGAACTAACACGCTCAGTAAAATAAGTATCTTATTAAAGTAAGTTTGAGCCTAGTGGGGTGGAACAGTACTCTGTTCTCAGTGACCCAGGAGGTGGAGGCAGCAGCAAGTTTGAGCTCAGCCTGGGTAACAACAGCCTGTCTCAAAATAGAAATTTTTAAAGGGATAGGGATGTACTAGCTCGGTGGTACAGTGCTTATCCAGCATATGTGAGGCCCTGGGCTCAATTCCATCTCCCTCCCTACCCTTCAAAAAATATGAGAAAAAAATTTGATTCTTTAATATGGTAAATTTAATTAAAAACCCATAAAAATTCTAAATTGCAGGATGAAAGTATTCTTTTTGTGTTACTGGGGACTGAGCCTAGGGTCATCGTGCTAAGCTACATCCCCAGCCCTTTTTTAGTTTGTGCTTTTTGGGTTTTGGTTTGGTTTGGTTTGGTTTTTGGTTTTTGTTTTTTTTTGAGTTTTTTGATGCAGGGTCTCACTAAGTAGTTAAGACTGACCTGAAACTCACTGTGTAGCTCCGGCTGGTCTCCAGCAATCCTCCTGCCTCAGCCTCCCAAGTGCTGGGATTACAGGCGTGCGCCACCACGCCCGGCTGTTTTGTTTTGTTTTGTTTTTGTACCAGGGATCTAACTCATCTTTCCACTTGTCCAGGCAGGTAGTGGAACCACTGAGCTAAATCCCCAGACCGCTAGTTTCTGTTTTTAGTCAGAGTCTAAGTCAATAAATTGCTAAACCTGGGCTCAAATTTGTAATCCTCCTGCCTCAGCCTCAGGCATGAGCTACCAGGATTGGCTAAGAATTGTAAATTTTTTTTTGTTTTTTTGTACCAGGGATCGAACTCGGGTCTTTGTGCTTGCCAGGCAGGCGGTGGAACCACTGAGCTAAATCCCTGACAAGAATTATAAATTCTAATGAGTATGAAATCCAGATACTGAGACTCACCCTCTTCCTCATAATTTTATACTAGTTTAATAAATTTTGGGTTTTTTTTGTTGTTGTTATTATTTTGTTTTTTTAGACAGGGTTTTGCTGTGTTGTCCAGAAATAGTGGTATTGAACTCAGTATTTAGCACAGGCTGGCTTTGAACTTGCCATTCTCCTACCTCAGCCTCCCAAGTGCTGGGATTACAGGTGTGCACCACCATGCCAAGTTTAGTTATTAAATCTTAACATTTCAAAATTCTGTGTTAATATCATAATTATTAACAATAATACTTTATTATTTCCTTCTCAAGAAAAACTCATTTCTCCTAGCCTTTTCATAATGCTTAATTTGACCTGTTGTTGAAGGTTGTACCTATGTATGTTGCTATACCTTCCTAAAGGTTAGAAGGTGTAATCACCTTTGACTTTTGTTTTGAGGCAGGCTCTTGCCATGTAGTTCAGGCTGGCCTTGAACTCACTATGTAGCCTAGGTTGGCCTCGACCTTGAAGCAATCCTCCTGCCTTGACCTCTCAGGTGCTGGGATTACAGGGGTCCACCACCACACTTGGCCATGGGCTTTGACTTTTTTCCTATTAATTTTGTAGGATAACTTTCAACTTTACTCATCCAAGTTAATGGGAACCAGGATCAATTACAACCTCTAGATAATCCTAGCAACTCACCCAGCGGTCTCCACATCCGCCTTCTCCTAGTCAGTCCTCTCCTCCTGACAGCCAGGGAACCCCAGTAGCTGCCCTCCGGTTCTGGGCCTAGAGACCCCAGTGGGAGAGGAGGAGCAGCCCCTGAAGCTGGGGCTGGGCTGGGGGTGTAGATGCATGGGAACTCTGCAAAGTAGCTCACACCTCAGAGAAACATTGGAACTCTTTCTATTCTAGATCCATGAATCATCATTGCCTTCGAAAAGGAAAATGGTAAGAATGAAGTTTACTTCACATTACGCTTTGTGTCTAGATTTGTTAAATACTTTTCTCTCATATCTGTTTGTCTACATAGTAGAATCATCCTCTCATGAAAATGTAACTGTTACATTGAGTTCATATGAGTACTTTTTACGTTTTTCTAATACGAAAAGATTAAAATGAGATAGCCTTTCAATTGTTAATTTTTAAAATTGTTAATGTTTTAAATGAAAATGTATCTCCTACATTTTCTTAATTTCTCTTTAACAAGCTTTGCTGCTCTTTTCTGTCCTCCCCAGTTTAAGTTCAGATGTGAGATTTTGTAATGTCAGGAATTCTTATTCCAGAATCGACTGGCTGGGCAAGTTATTTAAGCTTTCCATGCTTCTGTTTTTCTTACTCTGTAAAATTGGAATGATGATAACTTCTACCTCACAGGTTTGCTGAGATTTGGTGAGATGATGTTATTGTAATTCTACTGTTTTTCGTCTTTCTCATCTATGTATCTATTCTAGACAACTTTGAATTCTACGTTTTTATGCTTTACAATTGTTTACATGAGCACTTATGATGTTACTACTAGTGTATACGCCATCTTTGTATGTGTGGTCCTGGGGCTTGAACTTTCACACTAAGCTACAGCCCAGCCCTTTTTTATTTTTTATTTCAAGGCAGTCTCATTAAGTTGCCCAGGCTGAACTCAGACTTGCTGTCGTGCCTCAGCATCCCAAAGTGCTCAGATTATAGGTGTAAGCCACCATGCTTGCTTTTTTTAAATTTTTATTTTATTTTATCCCAATCCCCGCCTCAAGCCCCCTCCCCTCCCTTTGTACAAAAGTTTTATTTCTAATTTTTCTTTCTATTTTCAAGTTTTTTCTTGTCCGTCCCTTCCTTTTTCCCTCCTTCCTCCCTTGGTCCCCTTCCCATTTGAACACTTTCTTCCCATTTCCCACCATCAATTATACAGCTCAGCTTTTTATTTTATTTTACTTTTATTTTTTGAGACAAAGTCTCACTATAGTCCAAGCTGGCCTTGAACTCACTGTGTAGCTCAGACTATCCTTGACTCACCATCCTCCTGCCTTAGCCTCCTGAGTGCTGAGATTTAGGCACATGCCACAGCTCTTGGCACTTTTAATCTATAATGACTTTTGGCATTCTTTTTCTGTAACAGGATAGCATCACACTACATGGGTATGCCATAATTTAACTACAAATAAACACTTAGGCCTGTGGTGGCAAACCTGGACACACATGCTACAGCCGACTGTCCTCACTGAAAGCTCTAAAAGGTTCGCCATCACTGACTGAGACCGTTTCCGGCCTTCCATTATTAAAAACACTTGCGGGCCAGGGATTTGGCTCAGTGGTTCTACCACCTGCCTCACAAGCACAAGGTCCTGAGTTCAACCTCTGGTACAAAAAAAAAAACAAAAACAAAAACAAAAAAACTTGCTACAGTACTGAGGTTGTAGTTTACCCTGTGCAAGACCCTGGATTCAATCCCAGCATTGGGAAAGACAGTACTGCTACAGTGAATACTTTATACAGTGACTTACAAACTTAGTTGGTTCCTGAGGGATGGTTGTAACTCAAGTTGGCTATAAGACAATACAGCTGAGATCTGGATGTTTACCTGGGTACATGCTACAGATAACAAGAGGCAGATGAATCTTTCATTAACCTAATTAACCCAGGTTGTTGATATGTCAGGCCGGTTGTAACTTGAGGCTCTGCTGTACTTAAAAGTATCTATTCATACAACTTCATTCCCACATGTTACAAATATCCTTCAAATATGAATTCTGAGAATTGAATTTCTAGATTAGAAAGGCGCACGTTTTTATTCTGATTGCCAGATTGTGCAGTAGAGGTTTTAACCAGTTCCTGCCTCCGGTAGCCCCACAGCCCCACCCAGCCCTAACACAGGCTGAGGTCATTTGTTCACATCTTTCAACTTCATTTTGCAAAATGGAAGCCCATGTAATTGTAATATGTATTTCTCTTTGAATCTAGAATGAAGTTTTACATTTTTTTGTCTGTCATGTTTACATTTCCATCCCTAATTGCCTCTTCATATCCTGTCCAGTTTTCTGTTGGGTTGTGAGTTTGAACAAGTGTTTTGTTAAGTGAATATATTTAAAAACAGGACAGGCATAGGGACAGGCATGGGGATGTAATTCAGTGGGAGAGCCCTTGCCTAGCATGAGAGAGGCCCTAGCTCAATCCTTAGCCCTGAAAAAAAAAAAGAAATGATGAAAATAAACCAAAAGGACCTCACAAAATAGAAGGCTGTAATTCTGTATCCAGAGTTCACCTTTGGTGGACAGGACACAAGGCTGTCGTCTGCCTGTAGTACCCCGACTCAGGAGACTGAAGCGGGAGAATCGAAAGTTAAGCCAACAGGGGCAACATATTGAGACCTTGTCTCAAAAATAAAATTTAAAAAGAAAAAGAGGAAATACTTTTAACTTTTTTTTTTCTTTAGACAGGGTTTCATTATAGCCTAGGCCTGCCTCTAACGTAAGGCAAATCCCCCTATCTCAGCCTCCCAAGTGCTGGGATTACAGGTGTTCGCACCACACCTGGCAAATTTCACTGATTTTTAAAATATTTATTGCTGTCAGGATATACATTTCAGTTAGAGTTGTTCTTTTTTTTTTTTCCTCATTGAGTTTATTGGTACATTATAGGTGTACAGTACAGTTACAATCATTATTGGGATCTTGTACCTTTACATGACGGGTCTTGGTTCTCATTTGTTCTTAATGACAGTACTACTAATTAGAGCAAGTTAGAGGAACATATTTTTAAGCTGTCAAATTAGATACCCTAAAACCAATAATGTGTAGTTGTTAACATTTAGGAAGGCAACCAGGCTAACTAACGACACAGGGGAAGATTACCTTTCACTGTGTATCCGTTCCAGCCTTTTGAATTATATACCATATGTATAGATTACCTATTCAAAAAAATCTAAGCTTTTAAGAAATTAAATTAATAAATACCTGTGCCACATATTAGGCAGTGTAAACTGGGTATGGCAGTGCACACCTGTAATCCCAGCACTCCAGAGGCAGACACAGGAGGATCTCCATGAATTCGAGGCCAGCCTGGACTACGTAGTGAGACCCTGTCTCAAAATGCAAAAAATAAAATGGGCAGGATAAAACATGGTTAATTAATAGAACTGGCCCTTTAAAGTTTAAATGCAGCTTCTCTAATTGACCCTGGGGCCTGTCTTCCATGGTTAGCACAGGGATGTAGTGAGCGTGACTCAATGGAGAGAGCTGTCTTCCCTCACAGGGGGCAGCTTTGGGCAGCTCATCCCACCCAGGGGACTGACCAGGAATCGGAAATTCCCTCGGCCAGGATCAGTTGCAATAACCCGACCTCTACAAAACTATTTTGTGTGTAGGGAATTTCGGATGGAAAAGGGCGTTGATGTAGCAGACAGATCAAGGTTAGAAAGTAATGGAAGAGGAATGGAAAACTTAATGCGTGAGAAGGCTAAGGGCATAGCTCCATGAGGATCACCTGCCAGGTACACAGAAAAAAAGAAAAACGGTAGATCTGTGAGTTAGGGGCCAGCAAGAAAGGAAAATGAGTCATTCTCTTGGAAAGTGTTACCTGGAAAATAATTATGGGCTCTTGTTCCCAGTGTGACCGTTGGGCAGAGTCCAGGACTGTGACCAGGACGCCTGAGATGGGGCCTGGGACTGTCACTGAGATTCGGGGGACCAAAGTGCACCTGAGTGGCTTCCTAGGCCATACATGCAATTGTAGATATTTAGAAGTTAAAGAAAGATGCCGAAGAACAGAAATCCATTCACCCAAGCCCAGAAAGTATCCCCTAGTGTTTAAACCATGATTCATCTTGACATTCATGAGATGAAGAAATGGCACCCTAAGCAACCAGGAGCACAGCAGAATGAACACTAACCCAGTGCACTCCCTGGAATTCCCCAAGAGCACATTCCCATGGCCTCCCTTCCTGTCTGGTGCTCTGGGCCCAGGCCCAGGGCTGGTTCCAGTTCTTTCAGGCTCCCTCCAACCTCCCGTTCAGGCTGCTCCACAGTCCAGGCCTTGGCCACACTGTGGCAAGTCAGGAGGTAGTGGTTTATAGTGAGCTAACCCTACAGCAAACCTCAGAGCCCGCCTCAAGTTAGGGAAGTTGGAAAGCAAAGCACTCTAAGATCTGCCTGACAGATCTTAGATCTTCTTATAGAGAAGATAGAGAACAAGGTTTCACAATCCTATTTTGTATTTTGTTTGCCTGGATTTTTTGTTTTTGTTTTTAAGGGTATGTTTGCAATATATAGTAATTGTACTCATCTTGGGGAATCGCTGAATATGCCTGTCACATCTTTTTTTTTTTTTTTTTTTTTTTTTTTTTAGACAGGGGCTC